ATATGCTACTGGATGCAGATTGCCTTTGTTACACACTGAGATGCAGACAGTAATTACTTATTCCCAATGCTGTCCAGATTATACACTAGAGTCAGTAGCATAATATTCTCACCAAATGCTGTAGGTAGTTACATATGGTCAAAATGGAAGCAAGGAGGCTAGTATATGTATATATTTTATATCATTTTGGTGAAATATTGATTAACTGTCTTAAATAAATTACATTTGGACAAAATGGAAGCAAGAAGGCTAGTATATGTATATATTTTTTATCATTTTGGTGAAATATTGATAAATTATCTTAAATTATAGGGAAGTTCTACCATCTGAGTGAATATTAGAAAACACATCTAGTTTATATAGTCACTGCAGTAGAAATGTCACTTTTATTTATTTTTAAATTTTGTGTGAGAGAAAATGAAAAAAGCTAATTTAAAATGAGGGTTGCAAAATTAAGATACCAGCATATTTTGAATTATGCATTAAATAGTGTTTTCTACCTGGGAAGATATATGATAATATACACAAACTGATACCAGGCTCCAGGTTAGGGCCGGGGGGGGGGGGTGAAGGGATGCAATATATTGATTTCATAAGCATGGCAAGGCAAAAGTACTCAGAAATTATAAGAACTGCAGCTGTACATTTTGTATAAACTATTGCTCAGTATGTAACATCATATTTCCAATAATGTTGGAGTAGTGTGATTTAATTGAAGACTGATATTAATAGCATGAATGCAAGTACTGGAAGAGAAAAAATCAATGGGGTGTACTCATCTTTGTGTTTTATATTACCATTATTCTGGGGTGTTTGGGGATGACCAGAGATATTGATAAACTCTAGAGAAGTACAGTTTATATCTTAAACTACACTAGTACATCTGGTCAGAGTGGAGAACAGCATGGTGATACTAGGGTACAGTGATTGGTACTGGGCAGATTTAAGTTAGTTCTGATGTGAAGGGAGCTAGGTGTTTTGTACATTCCTTGTGAAGTGTACCTACTGTATATCACTTAAATCAGCTCTAAGTAAATTATTTTTTGCTCGTTACTCTGAACGTGCAGTGCAATTAAAGAATTCCAGGAATAGATGTGACAGTAGAGATCCAAACATTTTTCATGTATCATAAACAGCTTAAAGGTTAAAAAGATAGCAATACTGAAACAGATTCATAATGGACTTCTTAGTGCTAAATGGCATATAATGCTAAAATGTTACAGGTAGGTATAGGAGACATATTACCATGAAATACAACTACTAGTATACAAAGGACACAAGACAAAAACTAGGAAAAAAAAGCAAATTGCTGAAAAAAATGTGAACTGATGAATAGAATTGAACATTTTGAGCCAGATACTGCAAGCTAAAGGTCTACTCCCTAAATCCTTCATAGTGTTTACAAGGGTAAAAGATCAGGGGAAATATTGGGCTATTTTGTGCCATATTATCAGTATTTTAGGGATAATTATCCCCTCTTGTTAGATTTCTCACCAAAATATAAAAAAGCAGTTAACAATTGGTTCTGTAAATGATGTACTGCTTGCAGTGATGTATTTCATTGTGTATAAATGTACAGTATATATGTGGCAAGGCAAGGGATACAGCAGGGTAATATATTAAGTAAAAGTTGGGCAAGGGATACAACAGGATAATAGAAGAAAAAACCAGGCAAGGGATACGGCAAGGTAATAGAAGTGAAAGTCAGGGAAGGGATACGGCAAGGTAATAGAAGTGAAAGTCAGGCAAGGGATACAGCAGGGTAATAGAAGAAAAAAACCAGGCAAGGGATACGACAAGGTAATAGAAGTGAAAGTCAGGGAAGGGATATGGCAGGGTAATAGAAGTAAAAGCCAGGCAAGGGACATAGCAGGATAGTAGAAGTAAAAGTCAGGCAAGGGATACGGCAAGGTAATAGAAGTAAAAATTGGGCAAGGGACACAGCAGGGTAATAGAAGTAAAAGCCAGGCAAGGGATACGGCAAGGTAATAGAAGTGAAAGTCAGGCAAGGGGTACAGCAGGATAATAGAAGTAAAAGGGAGAGAAGTGTACTGAACTGGTCTCTTCACTATGGCATATGGTTGTGGTCATCAAACCATGGGCAGATGTCTGGGTTACTGAGGGCACAGATGTCCAGTATATGCCCAGTGAAGTGAGGTCAGGCTAATTATGTGCTGTCCCCAGGCAGGTGCTCCCACAGTGGTATTATAGGGGCTATGTCACTTGTCACACTACACCTGTCTGTGACACTCTCTCTGGCTGTATTCACACACAGAACTAGCTTGGACTAACACTCTCTCT